TGCCCGCCCCCCCCCCCCAAAGGCTAGCAACTGCACACTTTTTCTAGCCACTGAGCATTATTAATATTCTAATGACCCATCCGCTTTTAGATCGCAGATTTATTTCACCAACTATTTCAGATAGACAAAATAAAATATTATGCACCAAACGCACCATTTTTTAAAATAAGAAACTTATTTAGCGAAGTTATCGGGCTTTACTTTCGTGAAATCAGTAGCGTCATATTTCCTATATGATATCTTCCCCTTGAAAAACAAGAACAACAGATTTTGGGGGGTGAGGCTAAAATTATACAATTTTGACAGAATGTATTATCGTCGGCAACGAGTCTATGTGCCAAGTTTCAGCTTAACGGGACGCGGGTCAATTAGTCGTCTGAAGATTTTGCCAGCCAGCCTCGAACACAGGCAAAGTTAATATAAAGGATGTACAAATTATTTGTTAAAAAAAATTTTAGCGGTTGCATTTCTATTTTTATTTAGTCTCCATTTATTAAATAACTAGGCTGAAGTGCAATGGTTTTATTTTTTTATTCGGACAAATTTTCGTTAGAAAAATTGCATTCCAACAAATCTCATACCCACTCGCACCTCTGAGCAGTCTGAGACTTAACAACATTTAAAATTATGTATTATTATTATGCTTTAATATGTTAATGTTAACAAAATTCAATACAAGCTTCCGTTCCAAAGAATATCTCCATTGCTCACTTGTGCCTTTTTAAAGTCTTTAAAATTTACGATTTCATTTGTTTAAACCGAACAAATTTCCGTTCGATCAAATTTCCGATCGGCCAAACTCCCGCATCACTTTTAGTCGATCAATTTAATTTCTTTATTCAAACAAATTTCTGGATACGCCTCGACCAATAAACAACCCCGTCACCCCAGGAAATCCCAAAGTTGTTATGTCGGAAGAAGGTATGTCGGCGAACAACACTAAAAAAAATGCCGCAATAAAAATAATGTAATCAACTTATTTTTGTAATGACATAATTCAAATATATCATTTCCTACATCTGTTTTAAGACAGAGCATCTAATAATGATATCACGTATGATATAGTATAATTATAAGCCAATATATTCATTTAAAACTGATATTTAAAAAAAATAATAATTTAAAAATGTGTTCATCCCCCACGAAAATAGAACGGAAGTCATGGCGCACGAATTTTGAAATAGTACGTAGGGGCGTGTTGTTTTAGTGCGGGGGAGTGGCCTTTGCGGCGTAAATTCATTCTGACCCACGCACACTGAGTGACACTGACTATTGATGAACACAAACACATCTCTCACTCAACCACATTAGGCTAACGACACAGTGGTCTCTGCGGCTTCTGAGTAAACAGCCCTAAGCCATTGTTTCTTTAATATGAGTGACCAAAGCGAATTTACTGCAGACAGTTAAACATTACACATGCATTTACTTGCAGATTTAAGGAGTTTTACACCATATTCATATAATCATAGTGAAAGACCACTCGACATGTCGGAGGTAGACGTCGAACCGTGTGACCTCACTAGGGATCAACTTGTGAAAACGGGTAGCCCAAATTTCATGTGTTCTATTCTACCTTCACATTGGAGATCTAATAAAACTTTGCCGAATCCATTTAAAGTTGTTGCTATTGGAGACGTGAAAGACGGTACAAAAGTTTGCATCACAGCAGGTAATGATGAAAATCTTTGTTCAGAACTAAGAAACAACACAACATCAATGAAAAAGCAAGTAGCTACATTTAATGACTTACGTTTCGTTGGAAGGAGTGGCCGAGGTAAGATTTAAAAAAAAATAACATTAGGATGAGTATGAGCTATTTAAATCAGATATTGATATTGTTATTCAAATTGTCTTTGTTTGTTGACATGACGTACGGTTTATCATGAATGGCCATGGGCACTATCATTAGTATGGCTATGGTACCATGAGTTGAATACTTTTATTACTTTTAAATTTTAACTTACATTTACGTGGTTATGCGCAGCCGACTGCGTATAACTTTATTATTTATTTTAAGTTTTACTGAGTAGGAGTCTTAATGTCTACGCCCCCGCCTCCATTCCACTCTCTGTTGACACTTAAAAAAAAAAAATCAAGACTATTGAATTAATTGAATTGGAATTGATTATTGATGCTAATACTAATGCCATGCTACTATTTAACTACTACTAAGACTACTAACTTACTAACTACTGTTTACAAAAATGTCCTGTTACAATATGATGACTCTACTACGTTTACTAACCACCATATTTTAAAACTTAAACTATCGTTCAAAATTAAAGAACAAACTTTAACTTTTTATTTAAGTTAAATAGAATAGTATAGATTGTAATGAATAGGCCTATTTTATTTTATTAATTATGATGTAGCATAATAGCATGTAGGCCCTATTGACCTATTGTTATAATTTATTTTTTAAATTTATTGTCATTATTCAGTGTGCTATAGGCTATAGACACTATACTCAGTTTATTAACTCATTCTTTTAACATTTTTACAATGATTAACTATGTCATCGTCTAAATGTATGCCATGTCAGTGTCAGGAAATTAATAAATGGACCAAGGAAGGCGGAACTAAGAAAAAGCTTTAAAAATTTAATTTATTTTAATTCGAGTCACTAATTTCGTGACTAAAATGTAAAGATTGTTTAATTTCAAAATTAAAAATGAAAGAATTGATTTAAAAAATTATTATGGATCATATTTTAAATCTGTTTTTAATAAATATCATTATTATGTAAGACTCCATTTAATAATTCATTAACTTTAAAGTTTGAAGTTCCACAGACTCTGAGAGGGGCTGAATAAGAAGAATTAATTTAAATGCCAGTAATTCTGAAATGTCGGCTTCAAACTTATAGAAGGCATATAAATGGTTATTTGTAGCATTCCAACATTTCATAAATAACCTCAGCAACAGTACATCCCAATTACCTAACTCATTTTAACATTAATTTTATAATTTAATGAACATAGCCATGTACTATGAGTATCACTTATGCAGAGCAAGAGCAATTTTTTTTTCATTAATAGGCTTTTTCAATCACGATTTATTGTTAATTACCTTGTGACACTCTAGTGTAAGCGCCATGTAAGATTTATAGCTATAAATCAAAATTTTTAGATTTGCAATAGACATTTTTTTAAACTGCACATTTTATTGGTATGTCATGAGAATGTGACATTTATACCACATGGAGCACTGGTTTTAATGTCATTTTAATTAAGTCAAATCCCTTGCTCTGTTCATCTTAATTTATTATTTTTCTCAATTGGTATAATTTCAAAAAAATCTCATTAAAATTTGCACATTCAAAATAGAATATTTAGCCTATTGCATATAATAGGCACACTTTTGGGTTTTAAATAAAAAGCATTTATCAAAGTGTTCTAACATTGTTTAATAGTGAAACTATGAATAAAAGAATATATTTCACCCATTGAATTACCAATGAATTAGTTTGTAGGCTATTTTGTATTCAGCAGTAGGGCATTATATAGAAAGGTGCACATTTTATACATTTAATTTTAGGATAATAAATGAAGGCCTGCATTCAAGCCGTGTGAAGGAAATAGTGGAACAAGGTTTACTGAAATTTGAATGATAAAGACAGGACAATAATTGTCGATTATTGACAAATATTGTCCTTGCTTTTTATTTCAAGCTTCCATGTACCTTGTTCCACTATTTAATTTTAGTCACGCAGGCTCATGGGTGCCCGCAGGTAGGGGCAAGGTGGGGCACTTGCCCCCCCCCCCCCCC